GGCCCGCGGGGAATACGCGCCTCGCGCGTGATTCGACCACCGAGCCCGCTGCCGCCGGTCTGCTTCCGCTGGCTGCCGCTGGCCTTCCCCCGGCCTCCGGCGAGGGCGGGGCGGCGGCGAAGGCGAGAGCCTTCCTGGAGCGCCCCTGAGGAGGAGGAGGAGGAGGAGGAGGAGGAGGAGGAGGAGGAGGAGGAGGAGGCGGAGGAGGAGGGGGAGGAGGGCCTCCACTGTACTCCTCTGCCTGTCGCTCTCCCCCGCCCCTGAGCCCCCTCTGAGGACGCATGCTGAGCAAACACTGAGCCAGACGCGCGCAGGGCGGCCTCGCGCGCCGCACAAGAAGGAGAAGGACAGTCCACCGCCGCGCCGCAGGCGCCGAGAGGAGTGTCCTCAAGTTGCAAGCCCCCTCGAGCTCTCTGCGTTTTGTCCGTGGCAGGCGACCTGGAACCTGAGGAAGACTGGTCACAATGCGAGCCTGGACTCACAAAAGCTGCCAGTTAATAGCCTCCAAATACACTCTGGGAGCTTCAAAGGTTAACAGAAATTCAACAAAAAAATAAAGGGGTGTCTGCAGCACTCCGCGGGCCCCGCACTGGCTTACGTTGCAGCCCCTAGGAAAGTAACTCCTGAACGGCGGGGAAATGACTCCAGAGCGGCGCCCGACAGCAGCAGAAGAAGAAAGCTGAAACGTAGCTTTCGAGGGGCTCCGAGGGGCGCCCGAAGAATGAGGACCAACGAGAGATAACTTCTCCAGGTAGGCTCGACAGCTGCCAGAGAGCTGGAGCCACATCGTCTGTGGAGGTCCAACGTGAAGGGGCCCTGGGACACACAAATAAATACACACAAATAAAATGTTTCCCCATATTTTTCCATATTCTTTGGATTTTCGTCTTCCCCCCGGCTTCCCATATTTTCCCATATTTTCTGGGGATCGACGATTAATTGTGTCTGTGTGTTTTTTCCCCTCCTGACAAAGGTGGAGAAAAGTCCCGCCAGCCAAAACTGAAGAGCTGACGACTCCCGATCCCACCCCCTCCTGGGGCCTGGGCGGGGGGGGGGCGCTGGGAGCCCGCGCTCGCTCGACAGCCCGGGGCCAGAGAGATTCCCGGAGGGCACGTTGGGGGGGAAGGAAGGAAAAGGAGAAGGGAGGGTCCAAGACGAGGAGGAGGAGGAGGAGGAGGAGGAGGAGGAAGGAAAGAGGAGGAGGAGGAGGAGGAAGGAAAGAGGAGGCGGAGGAGGAAGAGGAGGAGGAGGAGGAGGAGGAGGAGGAGGAGAAGGTGGGAGAGGAGGAGGAGGAGGAGGAGGAGGAGGAGGAGGAGGAGGAGGAGGAGGAAGAGGAGAAGGGGGGGCCCAAGACGACCCACGACGGCGGAGGCCACGACCTCGAGGCGCAGGGGCCTCTCGCCGCAGCCCTGGACGTGCTCGCGACAGCCCGAGCCACCCCAGGAGGGCTGCGCAGGACCCCAGCAGGACCCCTGGAGGTCCGCTGAGGGGCCCCAAAGCAGGACATCGATGAGCTAGAGGAATTCGGGCGCGGAGTGGAGCTAGTACCTCGTAGAGCTCTTCGGCATCGATGAGCTAAAGGAATTCCGGCGCGGGGTGGAGCTAGTACCTCGTAGAGCGTTTCGGCATCGATGAACTAGAAGAATTCCGGCCGCGGTGCGGAGCGGCGCGAGGGCCCAACGAGCACGCCTGCGTGACCACAGTGCGGGTCCTGGGACGGCCTTCAGCTTGCCTTTGTCGCGCTCACCTCCTGCTTTCTCACGTTTCCCCCTCGCCCCTCTCCTGCCCCGTCCCCCTGCGAGCCATTGCGTTCATGTCATCGATGCTGCCTCGTCCCTGATCCCTCCCGCTCCTCTTCCTCCCTTCTTCGATCCCTACGGCCTCCCTTGAGCTCTGCCTCCCGCCTTCCTTCTCGCTCTGGGCTCGTCTTCCTCCTCCTCTTCTTCCTCCCCCTCCTCCTCCTCCTCCTCCTCCTCCTCCTCCTCCTCCTCCTCCTCCTCTCCTCCTCCTCCTCCTCCCTCCTCCTCCTCCTCCTCCGCCCTCCTCCTCCTCCTCCTCCTCCTCCTCCTCCTCCTCCTCCTCCTCCTCCTCCTCCTCCTCCTCCTCCTCCTCCTCTTTCATCTTTGCCCATTTGCGCCCTTCCGCCTTCCTCCCACTTGGATCCTCGATCCTTCCTTCCTCCTCCCAGCCCCATCCACCCTCCACGGACGCCTCCCCTGCCGAGCTCTCCTCTCCTCTCCGCCTCCTTCCTCCGTCCTTGCCATCTCCCGCGTCCTCGATATCGCAAGACTGCTCCGTGCCCTCGATGGCCCAAGAGGCACGAGGGGGCCAACGAGGTCCTCGGGCGGCCCACCAGCGCTCTGGGAGGCCCCACGAGGACTCCAGGACCGCCCCTCCTCGACCCCTTCTTCGGCCCAGGACGCTCCGGGACGGGACCACGGCAGGACAGTCCCGAGATGACCGTACGAGAGCCCCACGGAGGAGAAGGAGGAGAAGGAGGAAGAAGAAGAAGAAGAAGAAGGAGGCGGAAGAAGAGGAGGAAGAAGAGGAGGAAGAAGAAGAGGAAGAAGAGGAAGAAGAAGAAGAAGAAGAAGAAGAAGAGGAAAAAGAGGAAAAAGAGGAAGAAGCAGAATAATAAAAGGAAGAAGAAGAGAAGGAAGAAGAGGAAGAAGAAGAAGAAGAAGAAGAAGAGGAAGAACAGGAAGAAGAGGAAGAAGAAGAAAAAGAAGAGGTGGACGAGCGGAATTAGGAGAGTGGTCAAATTGGCCCGGTCGAGCGAGGCGAGCCAGAGGGCCCCGCCTGCTCCCACCCTCCCCACCCGCAGCACAAGGCTCGAGCGCGGCACGACCTGCTTCGGGGGCCGAAGCGGGCGCTCGCGCCTCGCGAACGGAGGGCGCTGTCGCGCGCGCGGTCCCGCCTTCCTTCTCGCTCCGGGCTCGTCTTCCTCCTCCTCCTCTTCTTCCTCCCCCTCCTCCTCCTCCTCCTCCTCCTCCTCCTCCTCCTCCTCCTCCTCCTCCTCCTCCTCCTCCTCCTCCGCCCTCCTCCTCCTCCTCCTCCTCCTCCTCCCCCTCCTCCTCCGACGGCTTGGCGACAAGAATACTGCGCGGGCCGCGCAGGGGCGGCAGCGGTAGACCTTCCGAGGGGCGCGGCGCAGACGAGGCGTGCGCCGCGCTGACACGGCATCGCCACCTTCACTCGCAGACTGCGCGGCGTTTGCGCGCGAGGTCGGCAGTTCGCCCGCCATCGCGCGGTCCCGTTGCCGCTGTCGCGTTCACTGCGAGGCGGGGATTTATCCATATCCACCGCCTAGGAACCGACGTCCTGGTGCCCCAGCGGGCGGTGGATGTGGATATATTTCGGCCCCCGGGGGCCCGAATATGTCCATATCCACCGCCTGCCGAGTCTCCGAAAACTGACCCTCCAGGCGGTGGATATGGATAAATTCCCGCCTCGGATTCGCTGGATTCGGCGAACGAGCCATGCGCCGCGCCCGCGCTGGGACGCCACTTCCGGCCCCAATGCGCACGGAACTTCGGGCGAGGGCAGTCAGCCGCCCACCCGCGCGGCCCCAAAAAACGTTGGCGAGGGACAAATCTGCGCCCCCCCCCCGTGGCAGCACCAGCTCCCAAGTCCCCTCTCTCCTCTTCCCCCCACGATAACATGAATGAGCTCTCTGGCGCCGCGGCGAGAGCGACATGTTCGTCCCCTCGCGCGTCGACGGAAACGGAAGTGCGCGCGAACAGGGTGCGCCGCACCCGAGCGGGGGCTCAGCTCTCTGGACCACAGGAGCGCGGCGCCGAGGCGAGAGCGACACCTCGGCCTTTCGCGCGGCATGTGCGCCCCGTCCCACTCCTGCCGCGCGCTCTGCAACAGGGACGGCTGGATGTCCATGTCGAGACGAAGCCCATTGGTGCCGACTTGTTTAAAGGGGCCCTGGGACACACAAATCAATACACACAAATAAAAGGATTTCCCATATGTTTCCATATTTTTTGGATTCTCGTCTTCCCCCCCATTTCCCATATTTTCCTATATCTTCCTGGGGATCGACGATTACTTGTGTCTGTGTGTTTTCTCCCCTCCTGATTGTTTCTCGATGGGCAAGACGGGAACCACCTGGATTCGGGGGGGCCATCGGCCGGCCAGGTGGAGTGGGAGCACACTCCAGCAGGGAGTAGGGATGAGGAGGCTGGGGAGGCCCACCGCCCGGCCCGACCCGACCCGCCCAAGCGACGGCCCTGGCGGACGGGGCCCACAACTTACGTAACATGCAAGACGCCGGACCCGCCCGTTGGAGTCCGCCCGACCCGACCCGCCTGTCAGGGCCCGCCTTACCCGACCCGCCTGGCAGGGTCCGCCCGACCTGGCCCTCCGAAATGGCGGTCCCGGTGGATTGGGTCCCCATATCAACGTCCCGCCCGCCCGACCCGTCCCGCCCATGAGGGTCCGCCCACCAGATTATGCAGCCTGCTTTGCTGCCCCGCCCGCCCGCCCGCCCGCCCGACCCGACCCGCCGGCGGTCAGGGTCCGCCCGCCCGACCCGGTCCAGCCGCCCTGCACAGGTGCCACGTCGATGACGCATCATGCTTCAATGTCCCGCCCGCCCGTTCCGGCCCGCCCGTCAGGGTCCGCCCGCCCGACCCGACCCGCCCGCCAGGGTCCGACCGCGCGGCCCAGGCCCGCGGAGGGCCCCAGGGGCCCCAGGGCGGCGAGAGACCTCCAGGGCCCCTCCGCTCCCTTGCGATACAGCGGGGCCTCGGCCACAAGAAACCTCCGCAAGAAGCCCAACCCTGAAATCCGCGATCTGTTTAATGCAAACCCAAATTTGTCGATCGAAAATCATCCAGGTCTTATTGGGGACCCATCGAAGTCCAAGAAACCCAGGGCACCCTGGCAAAATCCAACTGGTTTCTTGGCACGCGCCCCCACTGTAGCCCCCCCTGCCTCCGAGCGACGGCCACGAGCGACTCTGCCCCCCACCCCCCCGCAGAGGGCGCGGCCTGACGGCGGCGCTTCTGCACGCCCAGGCCCGTCGCGGGACGCCGGCGCAGCAGCGGCCCTCGCCGGCTGCGGGAGCTGCGGCGCGACGCCGTGGCCCTCGCGCGCGCGGGCGGGCCCTCCAAGAGGTCGGCGGAGCGCGCGGGAGGAGCGACGGCCTCGCTCTGGCGGACCGCGGCGTGCCCGGGGGAGCCCTCCTGGCTGGGGGCCCCCCGGCAACGCGCGGTGGCAGACCGCGCGGGGAGTCCTCGGGGGGTCCCCGAGGGCTCACCCCGCGCTTGGGGTCCAACAGGAGGCCGCGGTCGCCCGAGAGGCATCCTCCGAGGACGACCCGGGGCGCAGAAAGCCGCTCGGTGGCCCAGAACCCCCACGGGCGCAGCACACGGTGCACAGTGTTGGAGACCTGGAAGTTGGCACCAACACCAGCACAAGGGGTCGCCTCCACATGGGGAAGATGATCCCAGGTTTCGGTGTTGGTGGTAATTTTTCGGTCAGAGTCACCTTAAAAGCCAGAATATTACCACCGTCACCGAGATTGGGATCGACTTCCCTCGGAGGAGGCACACCGCCGATCTTGGTGTTGGTGTCAACCTCTAGGCCTGCGACAGTAGGGGCTCGACCACAAGAAACCTTCCACACGTAACCCAACCCTGAGACCCCAGGGGGTCCACTGGTTTTCGGTGTGGGAACGTCACGCGTTCCATGGCAGAAACCATCGAAACCCAAGAAACACAGGGCACCCTGGAGGCAAGCAGGGCGTCTCTTGGCATGGGTCTCCACTGTAGTCACCGCACCGTTTGGGGGCTCCCGACCAAAGGAGCACTCGGACGCATCCAGAGGGTCGGGGAAGAGATGCACGGTTGACCCATGTGAGAGCTAGGATCGCCAGCCTCGCGGCAGCGTGGCCGCACTTCGAAGGAGGCAGGTGGCTTGGCCGCCACCAGGTGATCCTCAGAGCGCGTGTCAACGCCAAAGCGTGCCTGTGGGCAGGAGCCCCTCGGTGCATCACAAGCTGTGCAGCGAGGGCCGACACGGGCTGCGCGCTGTGGGTGGAGCTCACGGGGTAATAACACATCGGGCTAACACACATTGCGCCCACGCGCCCCAGAGGCCTCCACGGGCCCCAGGATTATGAAAAACGGCTCAGAATTAAGAACTGGTCCTGAGCGCCCCGGGTCTAGGACCCGTTCCCTCAGGACCCCTTTCCTTCAAGGCGGCGACCTCATCCACACCACCGCCCACCGACACGTGGCTTCATGGCGAGGGCTTTTCAACGTCTTGGGCCATGTCTGAAACTCCGAGGGGCCTTTCGTCGCCACGGCCAGATCCGCGTCGAAACTCTAGTCAGAACGCACTCCTGGACAGGTCCACGGGGTCGATTTTGAGGAAGACCCAAGGGCATTCAGGGCCTCCTCGTGGCGACTTCTTCTGCGTTGGTACTCAGACCACGTAGATCGTTCAACCTCCTCGAATGATCGCAACTTTCCAGCAGCGGTCGATAGCAGCCGATTCCGAGAAATCGGCGGCGTTTAACCTTGAACGCCCGTGATGGGGTCGCCACCGCGTCGACACAAGATGAACCTGCCGTACTCCTCTCTCCTCCTCCCTCCTATTCCTCTTCATCCTCCTCCTTCTCCTCTTCCTCCTCATCATCATCCTCCTTGTTGTCCTCATCCTCCTCATCATAATTATACTACTGATACTACTACTACTACTACTACTACTACTACTACTACTACTACTGCTGCTACTACTACTACTACTACTACTACTACTACTACTACTACTACGACGACTACTACTACTACTACTACTACTACTATTACTACTACTACTACTACTACTACTACTACTACTACTACTACTACTACTACTACTACTACTACTACTTACCACTACTACTACTACTACTACTACTACTACTACTACTACTACTACTACTACTACTACTACTACTATACTACTATACTACTACTGCTGCTGCTGCTGCTGCTGCTGCTGCTGCTATTTTTACTTATACTTGTACTACTGTTAATACAACTCCTACTCCTACTACTACTACTACTACTACTACTACTACTACTACTACTACTACTACTACTACTACTACTACTACTACTACGACTACGACTACGACTACGACTACTACTTTACTACTACTACTACTACTACTACTACTACTACTACTACTACTACTACTGCCACTACTACTACTCCTACTACTACTACTACTACTACTACGACTACTACTACTACTACTACTACTACTACTACTACTACTAATGCTGCTACTACTACTACTACTACTACTACTACTACTACTACTACTACTACTACTACTACTACTACTACTACTGACTACTACTACGACTACTACTACGACTACTACTACTACTACTACTACTACTACTACTACTACTACCACTACTACTACTACTACTACTACTACTACTACTACGACTACTACTACTACAACTACTACTACTACTACTACTACTACTACTACTACTACTATTACTACTACTACTATTATTACGACTACGACTACTACTACTACTACTACTACTACTACTACTACTATTATTACGACTACGAATACGCTTACGACTACGACTTACGACTAGACACGGACTACGACTACGACTACGGACTACGACTACGATTACGACTACGCACGACTACGACTTACTACTACTACTACTACTGCTTGCCTACTACGTACTCTACTAATACTACTAATACTATACTACTACCACTACTACTACTAATTAAACTTACACTACTACTACTACACTACTACTACTAAATATGACGACTACTACTACTACTCTACTTACTACTGCATCTACTACTACTCTAATTACTACTGACTACTACTTACTATACTAACTACTACTACTACTACTACACTACTACGACTTACTACTACTACTAATACTTACTACTACTACTACTACTGCTACTACTACTTACTAAGACTATACTATATTACACTGAACTATTAAGCCTACTATTCCTCCTACTATATTATACTACTACGACTACACCTACTTACTACTTACTACTACTACCACTATACACTACTGACTACTCACACTACTACTACTACTACCACTGCTCCTGCCCTCCTTCCCTCACCCCCTCTTCCCTCCTCCATCATCTTCCTCCCCCTCCGCCCTTCTCTCTCCCTCCTCCCCCAACCTTCAACCCTCCTCCTCCTCCAACCAACCCTCCCTCCCTCCCTGCCTCTTCATTCCTCCCACTCCTCCTTCCCTCCTCCCTCCCTCGCTCCCTCCTCCTCTTGCTATGCATCCCTGGCGGACTCTTCGGCACACGGACCTCTGAAGGTGGCCTCCGGCGGGGTATTCGGACTCCAAGGAGTCGCGGGGGGCCCCCCTGCGACTGCAACAGGTATCCCGTCTGACGGCTCACTACCTCGACCCCCCAAACAGAATCCCTCTTCTTCTCCATCCCTCCTCCCCATCCTCCTCCTCCTCCACCTCCTCCTCCTCTCTTCCCCCTCATTCCCCTACTCCTCCTCCTCCTCCTCCCCTCCTCCTCCTCTCCTCCTCCTCCTCCTCCTCCTCCTCCTCCTCCACCTCCTCCTCCTCCTCCTCCTCGTCCTACTCCTCCCTCCTCCTCCCTGCTCCCTCCTCGCTCGTCTCCTCCACCTCCCTCCTCCTCCTCCTCCTCCTCCTCCTCCTCCTCGTCCTCCTCCTCCTCTTCCTCCTCCTCGTCCTCCTCCTACCTCGCCCCTCCTTTCAGCTACCCTGGCTTGGACGCACAGTAGCCGTAGAGTCCCAATGAAATACAGAGTGCGCAGCATGCAACAGCAGCAACCGAAAAAAATGCAGGAAGGTACAGAAATATTCCAACTCCTCCTCCTCCTCCTCCTCCTCCTCCTCCTCCTACTCCTCCTCTCCTCCTCACTCCCTCCTCCTCGTCCTCCCCCTCATGTTCGTCGTCATCGCCATCGTCATCATCGTCCTCGTCATCACCAGACACGATCAATAGCGCCCGTCAGCGCCGTCCATCACAATCAGCAATCAGCGGCATCGTCTCATGGTCCATCACCATCATCATCATCATCATCATCATCTCATCATCAATCATCATCATCATCATCATCATGCATTCATTCATTACAATCATCATCATCATCATCACATCCATCATCAGAATCAATCATAATCCATCATCATCATCATCATCAGCAGCATCAGCATCATCATCATCATCATCATCATCATCATCATCATCATCATCATCATCATCATCATCATCATCATCATCATCATCATGGTCATCATCATCAGCACCACCACCACCACCATCATCATCAGCAGCATCAGCATCTGCATCATCATCATCATCATCATCATCATCATCATCATCATCATCATCATCATCATCATCATCATCATCATCGTCATCATGTTCATCATCATCATCATCAGCAACAGCAGCAGCATCATCGAGATCGCTTCCAGCATCGCCAACGTCGTTGCTATAGTCATCGTTATCGTCATCATACCCATCATCCTCATCACCACCAACAACAACATCATCATCAACACCACCATCAGCATCAGCATCACCATCATCATCAGCATCGTGATTATCGTCATCACCATCATCATAATCATCGTCATCATCAGAATCATCATCGTCATCATCATCATCGGCATCATCATCATCGTCATCATCGTCATCAGCATCTCCACCACCAAATCATCATCAGCATCACCATCAGTACCACAACCACGACCATCATCATCATCAGCATCATCATCCTCATCCTCGTCATCGTCAGCACCATGAGCATCATCATCGCCATCAGCATCATAATCCCATGATCATCATCATCAGCAGCAGCAGCAGCATCCTCATCATCATCATCATCATCATCATCATCATCATCATCAGCAGCATCATCATCATCAGCAGCAGCATCACCAGGCTGCTTTGGCTCAAGCTCGCTTCGCAGGCGCCCTCGGGTCGGCCGCAGCGTGCCCGGTGTCGGCGGCAAAGGGGGCCCGCACCGCGGCGCTCGAGGCAACGCGCGGCGCGCCCCTCGCGGCGCACTCGGCCTGCTGGGC